AAAAAAAAAAAAAAAAAAAAAAACCAAGCCATTTTTTCCAAGCGTTAGCTCTCTTTCAGTTTCCTGCCAGCATGAGACATCCAGTCCCCGTTTCAATTGCTACCCGGTGGGTTGGCCATTCCAGTGGGTGTGCCGAGGTGCCTTGATGCTTCTCACTTGTATTTCCCTGGTGACTAATGGCGCCTAATGCATCTTCAATCTCCTGCTGGCTGGCCATTAGTGCCTTTCTTTGTGAAGTGTCTACTTAAAGCTCTGTTGGCTGCTCAGGTAAAGGCCGGTCTGATAACACGCTCCTGGAATCACAGGGAGAGGTGGTGGGTCATGCCACCTTGGAGGTAATCTTGGGCTATCTATGTAGTTTGAGAAACTGACCCCCAAAACAAGGGTCATGCCACCTTCGAGGTAATCTTGGGCTATCTATGTAGTTTGAGAAACTGACCCCCAAAACAAAGCAAACAAGTAGGCAGAGTGGTTCACTCCTGTAATCCCAGCATTCCAGAGGTGGAAGCAGAAGAGTCAGAAAGTTCAAAACCATCCTTGGCTACGTAAGTTCAAGGCCAGCACGGGATACATGAAAAAGATCAGGTTATTTGATTTTCTTTTTCCTTCAGTGCTAAAGACAGACTCCTAGGGCTTGGGCGTGGTTATTGAGAACTTTACCATTGAGCTAAAACACGGGCCTGTTGGTCTGTTTTTCAGAAGCTTTGCAGGGCGCTATAGGGAGGGTGGAGTGTGGCAGCCACGGACCAGACAGACTTCCTGGACTCTGGGAGACTTGGCTTTACATCCTGAAGCTCTGGCCTGCTGTCTAGAGAGGTTGGGACCATTTACAAACCTCAGCCCAGCTTCCTGCAGCCTGGCAGCTTTGCAGAGCAGAGCCCGTCAGTAGATTGCCGGCACTCTCTCCTTCCTTCACCCAGAGTTAGAAGCCAACCTGCCATCTGGCCTAGAGATGAGCACGGCCTGCTTTCCGTGGGCCACACCTGCACAGTTGTATGAGTTGTAAAAGTATTGCAAGGTGTCGCTTCTGAGCTGGTCATGGGGGTTCATGCCCTTAACACTGGCACACAGGATGTTAAAGCATGAAGACTGCCGGCTCCAGGCTAGCGGAGATACAGAGTCCTGGGCTGTCCTGAGCTACATGGTGTGACTGTGTCTCAGAAAAGAAGGGAGGGAGAGAGGGAGGGGAATGGAAGGGACACAGAAAGGCGGGCTGTAGAAACGACTCTGTGGTTAAGTCTTGTCTTGTTCTCTGTCCACTCATGGCAGCTCACAACTGCCTGTAACTCCAGTTCTAAGGGATCTCATGCACTCTTCTGAGGGTGCCAGACACACGTGTGGTATACATGCATACATTTAGGCACTCACACTTACGCATAAAAATAAAATAAATCTGAAAGAAAAGAACAAACAGGATGGATGGATGGATGGATGGATGGATGGTCAGGCTTTTGGTCAGCAAATAACCTATCCTTGGATCTAGGAAGGAGGAGCAATTGCAAAGTGCTGGAAGACCTGAGTTTGGTCCCCAGGAGCCACATAAAAGACTGGGCTGTGTTTGTAACCCCACAACCAAGGGAAGCAGAGACAGGAAGATTCCCGAGGGTCCAGCCTGGCCTACTTGGTGTTTTTCAGACCAGTAAAAGAAAAAAAGGTAGACAATCCTGAGAAATGATGCCTGAGTTTGTCCTCTGATCACACACGCTGAAAGCATGGTCACACACACACACACACACACACACACACACACACACACACACACACACACACACACACAGAGCCTGTCCTTGGGTCATAGCCCACAAATATCCACCATCTCTCCTTTGGGACCGCTAGAACTTCCCATATCTTAGCAACTAGAGGGGACACCAGAACCCCAACCAAAGTCCAAGACTATGCTTGCTCTGATTTGGATGGTGCCCTGGTGTCTTGGCTATTCCATCACATGTGTTCTGGGGGCAGGACATGCTAATACCACCCACGAGAGTAACTAACATGCCCTCAATGTGTCAGGCACAGCTCTAGTGATCCTCGCAAAGCCTCAAGAGAAGCTGGCCCTGCGTCCTTCTCTGATACAAGTCCCCACTTTCTGTTTGTAGCCAGAGGGAGCCTTGACCCCCAGCAGGTCCGGGTCCTCCCTGCCCACAGCCCCACTCAGGTCCCTAACTGTCCCTCTCTCCCTTAGCTCTGGGCACAGTGGGCCACTTTCTCCCATTCTAGCTCTAGACCTTAGGAAGAAACTTTTGGATTCTTTAGGGACCAGAGTCAGCCTGGCAGGGCCAGGAGTGGCCATGAATATCAGAGACCCTCCACCCAACCCCAGAGTCCCCGGCTCCCACAGTGTCGTCAGCGCCTGTCCCATGACCACCGTCCAGCTTCCCCTTTCTCCTGCACCCAGGGTGCTACACTGTGGGAATGGGGGAGGGGGCTTCCTGCAATTGGCTCATGCCCAAGGGCTCCAACCTCAGGTTCCTCCTTCAGTTCCAGTTTAGGCTCCTGCTAGGGACTAAAATAATCCCTGCCTCCCCCATCGTCCTCCATGAGCTCTCCTCCTTCCTGGCTCCCAGCAGCTCTCCCCCTCAGCATCACAGC